GGTTTATGTTGCAGGCCAGTTCTTAATCTGAACAAAATTATACCTGCTTTTAATACAGGTAAAGACTTCCCGCTGGGAAACAGAAAAGAATGAGTTCAGATAAGTGGTAAAAACAGTAAAACAGAGAGGGCGAAATGTAAATATTCAAAGTGACCAGCAGAAAACATTTGGCATTCATAAAAAGGCAGATTTGCAGGCACGTGGAAAAAGAGGCTGATGGCTGTAATAGCAGGAGCAGCAGCATCTGAGGCAGAAATGAGAGAAATGGTAGTAGCTGGGACAGGAACAGATGCAGAAATAGCAATAGCAGTAATATCTCCTTGCACTGCACACCCAAACCACCCATTTAGGGGTGGCCAAATAGACTGTTACAAAGCAAACAGACCATTATGGTCCATTGTACAAATATGTATTTGGAAAAATGTTGATGTGCAGTGGCATGGTGGAACAGAAGTTGCTGTGTGTGTTTAGCAGCCCTGGATCCAGGCCATTCATTAGCAGCAGCCTCTCTGCAGAGGGGCCTCTTTTCCTTTCTGTGAGAGGCAGTAATAAAACCACTCCAAAATTTCCAGATACACTTTTAGATTTTTAGTCACTGGTTGTTAGTTTCATGATTATTTTTTTTTTAAGGGAAAATACTTTGGGCACCAAATCTGTCTTCCTCAAAGGTTCTCTAAATTCCTTAACACATATCCTGGACTGCAGGATGATTTTCACAGCTCCTATTCAAGAGCAATGCCTTTTCCTTTAAAAAAAGTTTCTCTGGCCTTTTAGATGTTACAACGACACATTCTGCCTTTGAATTATGTTGTGCTGCAGCAACTTAGCAGAGAAACAAGCCTCTTGACTTCTGTTTGAAAAGTGGTACTTCAATTCTTAATTAAAAATCAGTTACTACAGTTATGTCAGCTGACTTTGCAGTGGGTTTGGATTAGGAGCATGCATGTACATACATTGCCTATGTAGAATAATTAGATTTCCCATCTAGTCCTCATAAGACATGTTGACACGTTTTAGAATCTCAATTCATTGTTTTACTGGAAAAAAACAAAGTATATGGAAGACCCTTTTTGCCTTTCAGCGTAAAAAGGACTCTCTGAATAGTCTGTGTGAAATACAGGCTGCTTTAAAGACAATTTCTTAGAGGAGCAGGACCTTGATTCAGCAAATTCTGAATCTAAGCACTGGTGCTTAGCCCTGCACTCAGGAGCTGCCAGACTGCAATAGCAAAGCACTTGGTTCAGTGCTGTGCGTGACTGGTTTTAACAGTTCAAGTATCCTGTTAATCAAAATTGGGTATCTGTGCTGTGGGCATCTTCCAGCACTTGCTTCCACTGGCCAGGCTCTGACCTTCCAGGCACATGTGCACAGCTCTGCTGCCCTTGTTGAAGTTTTTGCCCCCAAGTATAACCTAAAAATGTCCAGTCATTTAATTGTAATAATAAAGAAATTGTCCCCCATGCAAAGATGTCTGATGGTGCCTTTAACCTTGGAGCTAAATTTTAGATCTAAATTCTAATTTCTAGTAAACTTGGGATTAAAATGGAGATGTTGATACAGCAGAATCGCTGCCATAAAGAGAGCAAGTCACACTCTTTATTGTAACAGCTCTTGATTGCCTAGCAAAGAAATGCATAATGAATAAACATTATTTTAAAAAGCTTGATAGCACAATGAATTTTTCAGTGGAAGAAACAGAAGAGAGAGTATTTAAAAATACATGAGTTTCATATTTGATTATAAGTCAAGAAGCAGCAGAAAGAACAAAAAAAATTGATAGCAATGGCAGCAGGCACCAAGCTTTCAGTCTTGAATTAATGAGGTAATTCATAATAGGGAGGGAGTGACATAGTGATTAGTTAATTACTGTGCAGAAACATACAATTAATGCACAACTGGAATTAGTATACAATGAATTAAACTGCCACAAAATGCAAGCACCAAAAATTGAGAAGGAAACCTTGATTGTTGATGGAAGCTGTTATTACAGCAAAAAGTGTATTGAAATCACAATAGTTTAGCTCTCAGAGTGTTTCATTTGTGTGATCTGATTCCAACCTGTTAATAGGAATGCTGTGATGGGGAGTGGCATGTGCATGATTGTAGGGCCAAGGGGCTATCAAGGGAGACTGATGGGAAGCTTGTGTGCATTGCAACAGGAATCCTCTGCAACTTTTGACAAAACTAATAGATATTCAGCCTGGCTGGGCTACCCTGTCATCAACCTGTCATTGGCCCAGGGATGTTTCATCCCAAGGCTGCCAAGGAGTGATGAGGCACAGAAGAGAGCTGGTCCTGCCCGTGGATCCCACACCAGAAGCCCTGTTGCAGCTGCTCCACGGGCTTTGCTGTACATTTGGTATCTTGTATGAGTGCAGAGGTAAGGAGTGATTTTGCACATGGGTGTGGGTATCTGTGTGATCTTTATGTACCATAAAGCATAAGGGCAGCTGCCAGGTCAGGAGCAAATGGTGTTTACCAAGGGAGTCTCTTTTCCTTCTGAGAGAGTAGGGGTTAGAAAAGGTTCAGTAGTGTGAGGGAAGGAAATATCTCAGACTACATCACATCATAACATACCTTGGGTCTGCTTTAAGCTATGTCAGTGGGAAAAGCCTGTTCATCTTTATCTTTCTTTCTATCTATCTTTCTATCTATCTATCTATCTATCAATCAATCTGTCTATCTTCTATAAGTATAGCAAACATGGTATAGCATGTTGCACACCACAGGCTGCATGGGAGCTGCAGGAACTGTGCTACAGCTCACAGCAACTTGACAGAAGGCTGCAAATCTTGGTCTGCAGATGCTGCATTTGGCAGAGCATTTCTGCAACAGTTCAGACAAGAGTTTGCAAGTGCATGTTTTTAGCTTAGATTGCAGGAAATTGAGCTGATAGGATTGAAAGATCATGCTAGTCTCAAAATATTATCTCTCTTTCCATTTAGCTGTGTAAATAAGAGTGGTATTTTAGATCTAAAATAAGATCCGGTTTCTATCTTGAGGAATTAAAAATCTGAAGTACAAAAGTAATTTATAATAGTGTACATAAAGATATCCTTAAGGGAATTAGGTGGAAGAGGAAAACTAGAATCTGCATTTTGCAGAAGGTGCTTTATGCATGGAAACTCTGAAGTCATGATCATTGATTTAGTGTCTTGGATATTTGTTATGGTCTAACATGTATTGCACTGCTGATACTTTATTTCAGCTGAATTTAAAAACAAGTGGTAGTGCATTTTCTTGGGACATAGTATTTTACCCTTTACCCTTTTACTTCAGATGAACTTATAAAGATCAATAAATTAATAGCAAAAACATTTTCAAAATAGTATAGTCAACTTTTATGTCACTTTTATGTCAATATGAAAGTATTAGTGGTATATAGTGTTACAGTATTATAAAAATGCAAAAATTTCTGGACAGAAACAGGAAAAAACATTATTAACTGATAATTTAAGAAAACATTATTAACTGATAATTTAAGTGTCTTACTGAAAGAAAGCTTTTATCTTGAGAAATAGTTAAGATTTAGAAAATAAAATCTAAAATAGAAATCCTAACACTCTTCTACCAAGGGCCCCAATTTATCAAAGAACTCAAACAGTGTTAATTTAGTTACTCAGAAAGACTCTGCCAGACAAGCAAAGGTCTCTGAAAGCCTTTCATTATTGTCATCAGAAGCTGTAAGAAAGTCACTAATTTTGTCCAGGTAATTTCTGAAAGAGACCTTTTTCAATAAGTGTGAGAAAGTCCACCTTTAGTAAGTGCTGAAGTCTGACCCTGTAAGTTGAGGGCAAAAATCTCACTAAATTTAATTGCTGGCATTGGTGATGCTGGGAGTTACAGCAGGGGTGAGGCTCCCGGGCTGTGTGTGACTGCTGGAGTGCTGCATCTTCCTCTCCTCATCCTGCTTTTCCATAAAATACCATAAAGATTTCAGCAAAACAAAACCTTTAGAAATATCCCCCAGCACAAATCAGCAATTGCTGGCTTTGTCACATGTGAATTATTTTGAAAACAGGCTTGGACTTCTCTTCATTGCTTGCTGAAATAATTTTCATAATCAGATGTCTCTACCAAGATCTGGTTAAAATTCATACTATGTCACTCAATCTGCCTTTACCAAATTAGAAGAAAAATGGGGTTTATTCGGCCTTATCTCAGATTTCTTTCTCTTTCTCCTATCCCTCTCTCCCACTGCTGTTCCACTGAGAAATTAACTCAGCCTTTCTGTCAGTGTGAGGGCTGGGTTGGGAATAGCAGGAAAACCTCAGTTACTAGGAAGGGTATTAGTTTATAATAAAGTGCTGATCCTTGAAATGTTATTTTGCTGTTTGAATACAGTAAAATAAACAGCAACAGAAAACCAAGTACTCTGTTAATTTAAATGGTTGGCTTCTTAATATTTACAATATTCTAAGCAACAGTAATAACTGTCTCTGCTTGTAGAAGTTATTTCAGCAGTATTGTCGTGAAATGATCAAGCTTTTTCACAGATATTAAGTGGGTATGAAGTTTCTGGTATTGTGTGCTGTAGCTGAGGAGGAGGGAAACTTCCCAGTAATTTCCAGTCCCAGGCTTCTCTCCTCACCAGTAAAGCAAATAATTTACTAATAACTCTTCTCAAAGATGCTTCTGTTGACATGAGTGAAGCAGAAAAACATGCTGCTCATCTTCAGCTCTTAGTGTGGGGAGAGCTGCCTTTCTGGAATAGGTGCCATTTAAGGTAGAAATGGATGTGATTCAGTGTTTGCAGCCAGGAAAGTAGTAAAATCTCGATCTGCTAAACACACCTGTGCAATAATGCTGACTTATATGCTGTAAGCCTTTTTTCTAAATTAATCATTTTGAAGTATGTTGCTCTTGACCACTGGCTCCCAAGCACTGATGAGATTTTTTCCCTAAAGTAAAGTATTAACAATAGCAACAAATCTCAAAAGCTGGGAGGTTTTAATTATTTGCCATTTCCATGGTTGGGTTTTAGCTGACATCAAAACCCCTAAGAATGATAAAAGCTGATTTCAGAGATCTTGAGTCCAGGATTTGCCAACGCTTTCACAAGAGGCAAGTGGTATTTCAGGCTGTAAAAGAAATTGTCCTTTACAGAACATGTGACAAAGCTTTTTCTTTGATAGCATCATCCTGTGTCACTTTGAAAAATTTCCTGTGCTCCATTCTGAGGAAAAAAATATTTTACCCTAATGGCAAACTAAAAGTAAATTGCTGTGTGCTGAAGAGCAGAGAGAGTGAGTAGGGAAAGGTTCTGCTGTAGCCTAACAAGAAAGGAATTACTTTGCATTACCTCAGATGCTTTTTTTGGTGCAGCAAAGACCTGCATCATAAAAATACAGAATGGTCTGAAGGGCTTTAAACTTTGCACACCACAAAATGCATTATGCAGCTCCATCAGACATGAGCAAGGGTTGTGCCACTTTCCACCCTGCACAGGTAGAAGCTGGAGTTTACCTCAGTTATTCTTCTGCAGTGGTTTGAGACTTGAAGGAACATTTTTCTTCTCTCTGATGTGAAGCTTTAGTTCCTTCTTCTGGAGATGGGAAATCTGCAGGTAGATTTGGAACAATTCAACATATTGAATGTTCTTAATCCAACAGCTACTGAGTCTGACTGGATAGACAGTGAAACTTCAGTTACTCAGGCAGGGGATATGAGATTTAGTTTGGGGGCAGAAAGATTAACAGCCAGTGACCATCATCTGTGTCAGAAAACCAGCCCCTTACTACAGGTATTTTAATTGCAACTATGAAGATGTGCTTGCAAGTTTTTATTTATTATCCATTCAATCTGCCAGTTTCATCTTGGAGCCTTTATTCTCAAATTAAAAAAAAACCAAAACAAAACAAAAACAACAACCACCAAAAAGCAAACAACAGTTCCCTTGTTTGTCCCAAAAAATTAAACCCAGATTCTATCACCTTGCCCCAACAAAACCACTGCACAGGGGTGGATGGCAAATGCTGCCATGGCTTCATGAGAACTTCAGAAAACACAGTGTGTTGTTTCTTCTGTGTTTTGCCAGACTGAGTCTGAAAATACTGTGTTGAATTCCCTGAGTTCTGGAATTATAACAACGTGTCACAAATAGATGCCTGGCAATGCACGGCCTCACCAGACAGAGTGACAGAGCAGCACATCAGGGCTGCCCCTGGTGTATCTCCACTGACATCGTGACACCAGGGATGAGTTCCACAGACACCACAGGAGGGAAGGGTCCTGTGCATCAGGCACAGGCACAGATCCTGGCTCATGTGAGTGATTATCCCCTGTTAAAAAAAGCAAATGTAAAACCGAATCATCCCCGTGAATATGTAACTGAGAAAGTTTTACTTATACATCAAATGATTATTCAAATAACATAGAGATGTGGATGACCTCAACAGAGATCTATGCATTGAAATAAGTTTTAGTCTAGTATATATTTTATGTTTAAATACAAACATAAATGTATAATATAGATAATATTTTCGTACAAAAATACCATTTCAGCGTTACTGTATGGAGGGGCTTTTAAGTGGGTGTTTGGATGCTGTGTGTGACTATGCCTTTTATATCTAGGTGAACTGAGAGAAATAGGAAGGAAATATTCACCTCCTTAGAGGCTAAAAATGAGGTGCAGCTACAGTCTAGCTCTGCAGTGTTCCCTTTCAACAATGGGGAATGGAGTGAAAAAACCACGAGTTCATTTCACATGGAGGAAAAGAAAGGAAGATGGTAACATGTTGACCTGTACTAAATGACATTTACACAAAAGGTTTATTCATCAGGCTCCTGTACCGTTTTTGAAAATGTGCTCAAGTGTTTTTTTCTTTTATTTCCCTCCCTTTTCCTGCATTTCTAAATGCATCTCTCGTATCTGTTGTTTTTACAGCACCTGCAAACTTTACATTTGGGTGCAAGGTCTGGCAGCAATCAGATATCATACTCTGACATTCGCTTTCCTACATGTTATATTTTATTTTACAACGTCATAGGAACACCAAACAAGTTTTCTATTAGCTTTAATTTTTCTTCCTCCTTTCCTTGCTCTGTGAGGGTAGCATACCTCTCAGGATATTTTAAAATACCTTCAACATTTTCTCCGGATAATTCCATTTCTGAATGCCTATTCACATTCTCCCCACATATTTCTCTTAATATCTGATATTTTTCAAAGATTGGAAGGCAACATTGCACAGTAAAAACAGTTGACATATTTGATTTCTCTCTCTGCATCTCTCAGTGGAGGAGGTAGCATTTGTCATTCCTGGGCAGAGCAGCTGTTACAAAGCTTTATGGTGAATTGTCCATGTTTACAGTCCTTCAGAATGGCATTTTTGCAAGTCTTTTCCTTAAATTCTTCATTGCAGAGCCCTATTTTAAGCTCTGTCTCTCCATACAGGCTGAACTGAATAGAGGGGCACTTACTGCCTTGTGGGAAGTGGAGTCTGGTCTGAGCACTCTTGCCAACAGTCGGATTTTTACATTGATTTCAAGGGGCTGCTGATCAAATCTCTGTACTGTGAGCTGCAGCTCAGTTTCTCCCAGTGAATAACTTCCTATGCTTGAGGTATTCGGGAGTATGATCTCCTCCACTCCAAAAAACTCTGTGAGAAATTTTTCTAATATTTCTCATCTTCCCATTGATACCAGTCCCTCAGATGTGTTTGTATCTGCTCTGGCAGAGCTAAAGCCTCATCTCCTGTAGTCTCAAACAAGATTTGTCTTTTTTTCTTTTCCTTTACTTTTTGGGGGGAATAGGAGAGTATGGTCCTGTGCTTTTGAGTCCTATATTCTTTTAATGCTCATGGCCATCTGTGCACTGAGGCATGACTGTGTATTAAGAACTGGATTACAATGCAATGCTCTTTTCTTGGGTTTGTTATTGTTCCCTGTCTTTTGCCTGCTTTATTCCTGCTTTTTTTCTGATTTCCATACTCTATTTCTTATGCAGTGCCAAATTTTTCTGTTTCTTTCTCTCATCAATAGGACTTTAACTTCACTTTCAGTGAAATTAAATTATAAAATAGGTTATGTTTTCATATAATTCAGATACTACTATCTGGTGGACATTTTTAACCTCTGAACTTAAAAATTCAAAAACATACTCTGAAATATTTTTCAGTTCTCTTGGAACTAAAAACTTTTCATTTGGCTAAGCCAGATCTGACACATGAAGCAGCTCTGTAGGATGAACCTTCCTTAGTCTCAGGAAAGTGCAGCATCATTATTAGGGAATTCCTAACCCAAGGCCACTCTCATGCAAGGGAGCAGCATCATGGTGGAGCAATATGTTTTAGATGAAGATCAGTTTTCTGAATCAGTTTTCTTTACTGATATCAGTTACTTTTTGGGGTGGATCAGGACCAGCTACCACATTAGATCCCATGTATTTTTCTATAATGTCGTCTTTAGTGTGCTGGTATAGATGGACTGATTTTCATCTATTTAGGGAGTACAGAAAGGTGAGAGAATGAGGGTGGGTTCCTGAGGAACTTTGGGTTCTCCATAACCCACAGGATGTGTCTGGGATACTGTGGAGGCAAATAAATTTTTGTCTACAGGCAATGGCCATCCATGACAGACTCCATGCAGATTAAGCAATAAAAGGTTATGGTAAAAGCCATAGTGATGAAAGCTCTCTAGACTGTTGGCCAATTTCCACAGCAAAGAGCAATGCAAATATATGCAAAAATGCCATCAGTTCAAACCTCTGCTCTAGATCCAACATGGAAAGGTTTCAGCATGTTTGAGATAATTTGGTAGGAAGGAGAATTACTTCAGATCCCCAGGCTGCACTCAGGGTCCCTCCTGTGTTCATCAAACACTCAGACAGCCCCATGGATAGGATGATGGCCTCTCTCAGATATCCAGTTTCCTTGCAGAAAGTCTGTTCTCTCCGGCAGGTTTTGCCACAGAATGTTTTCCCTCCAGCTTTATGCTGCATATTTACTTCTTCAAACTGCTCAGAACCCGAGTGAAAATGAAAGCAAGAGGCAGCAGGAGGTGCTTTGGGTAGTTTCCAGATACGTACTTATCTTCCTGAGCATACATCCTCTGACTCTCCTAAGCACACTGAGTGCTGCACTCAGGGCAGTGAGGAAAGTGCACGGTCAAGTAAAGCAATCAGTGTTATCTGAAGCCCACTGAGTCTTTTCCTTTATCCAAAACTGTCACCGTACCATTAGCCTTAAATGACTGGTGGCTGCTAAAATATCTGTAATCTTTGCAAACTGGAGACACAGTGAGGTTTCCTGACTTCTCTGCATAACCCAGCATTTCTGCAGTGTATAAAAAGCCTCTGTGAACACTCACAAAGGGCCAGTGCCTCAGCTGAGGCCCTTTGACTTCGCTGGACCTTTGCCAGCCTCCACCAGCCGAGAACCTTTTTTCTCGTATTTTCTAAAGATACTATTGGGAAAACACTTTTGAAATCCAATGAACAAAGTTCAGTCAATAAAAAGTGAGGAAAAAAATAGCAAGTACAGCAATTGAATGAGTAAAATTGAATTCAGAGGTGGCTGAATGCTGCTGGTTGATGCATTTTTCTATCTGATATTACTGATTTGGCAAAATGGGAACATTTCCCAAAAATGCATCAGGTTTTATCAGAATGCTGTGGGAAATCATTGGAAGCTTTTTGTGTCAAACATTTTATTTTGGCTATTATGCAATGAAGATTGAAAAATCCCTCTGGACACAAAGCAGTTTGATCCTCCTGAAAGAAAATATTTCTGAAATCTGATTTTGCTGTAAATTGCTACATTTCAGCTTGTTACTCGAATCTGACAAGAAAACAAATGCCAAAATTCCCAACAGAAAGGAGATTTAACACAATTTTAATAAGGACCTGTTTTAATAGGAAGTTGAGAACTGTGAGTGAACTAGGCAATCTTATTTTTAGCAGGGGTATGCATTACAAGTGAAATCCTCACAATCACTTAATAGAAAACAATATAATATTAAATAGTATCACAGCATTTAAAGAAAACGTGTCATTTTCCTCTGCCTGTGTTTAACCAACACGAGTTTCACAGGCTCTCAGTTTTAAATGCAGAATGCAGATACGTGCTGGACTCAGGAACAGATTATTAGCATAAGCATATCTGACTTTTCTTAACACATTTCTAGATTAAATATGAGAATGCAATAGGCAACAGAGTCAGAGGCAAGAGGATGTCTGAGCCTGCCACTCCCACCAAGAGCTGGGACAGGAAGAGTGATTTTTTACTTGGGTGCCTTCTACTGACAAAATTGTTGGAGATTGTTATTTGGAGTATTCAGCACTTGAGTTTCTGGTATTTCCATGCTGCTTTTCCCCACAGATTATTTTCCTGTTGGTAAGCAGTTGACGGAGGAGATAATACATTACCTCTGCAAAATTATCAATGCTAGAAATTTGATCCATTCTCTGAGGTGGGCTGTGCTGGTAAGGCAGGTATTTTTAGAGATCTTATATTGAACAGGATGATTTTTATTTTTTTTTTTTGAATAATGTAAAGCATTTATCTTCTTTTCTGCCTCTGGAGAGAATATTTTCTGTAACTTAAAAAAATACTTATCTGAAAAGCACACCACATCTTAGAGGTGCGTGAAGTTTTCCTTGTATCAGAGCTCCTTTGGAGTCATTCCCTTGGCAGAGTTCCTTAAAAACTGCAGGAATGGGCTTCTCCATTAAGAATAAAGGTAAGTCCAAAGTGCACTTTCATGACCCAATTTGGGGATTTATTCCTCTCTTCTGTATTGATAAAAAGTCCCTTCTATTTCAAATGAAATATATTTGTATTCACGGTACTGTTTCTGAGTTCTCAGCTCATAAGGATATTTGCATTCTGAAGAGGAGCTGATTTTGTTCTAATTCCACTCATTTCACATATTTTTTAGTTGTAAGGAGTAAAAGGCTTCTTAGAGCAGAGGATCATTATTGAGAGAAAGGATCTTAATATTCTCCTTCTGTTTCCTACCTAGATGTGGTGGGAAGATGAAAGTTAATCTCTAACCACTCCATTTCCTTTCAAAGAGGGAAGAGTCACTGAAGCATCA